TGGTCCCCAGATTAAGAATCATCTCACGACGTCGGTCCATACTGCCTGAAGCCTCCATTGAGGAAATATTAACACAGCTATCCGAAGAATGCCCTTGGGAAATCATTTCGTCGGCAATAGCAGGCATATTTTTGCTATTAGGTCCATTACCGTTCACGACTGAACTGCCATTTTCGAAGGAAACAGAAGCAAGCGAGACAGAAGATGGATAGGATGAAAGAGTAGTAAGAACGCCATTCAAACGACTGTTGGGAGGCTCTAGCTGCTCATCACTACTGTAACACAAAGAAGGATTAGATGTAGCACAACAAGGTGATTTTTTGGCACAAAATTCCATATCCGACAATTTAACACCCGCACTGTGAATGAGGTTGTTCCTTTTAATTAAATCACGCTTGCATGATACAATGTCGGTGACCACATCTCTACCAGTGCAGCTGATCGAATAGTGCTTCTTATGGCTTTTATTAGACAGTCGGTCCTGTCTGGGACAAGCCTGGGCACTAGGAGGGGAATGCAAACACACAGGAGATCGAGGAGATAGGGCAAATGTGTCATTTAGGGCGCAACTCAATGCACCACATATTTCAATATTGCCAGAAGAGTCTGCAGTGGAAAGAGAGGGGGCTGATCTATAGCAGGAATTCGGACCAAGTGGGCCGACGTCGCTAACACTACGCTCAGGATCTGGTTTGGCGCAAGATGATAATCTAGCAGGCCCTTTGCTGACTTCTTCTTCCTCTTCTTGGTCTGTCGGTTTACCAACTTCCATATCCTCTTCACCTTCCGTACTTCCAGCGTCATCATTAGCAGTTGTCGCGGGAGTAACTGCAGCGGTTACATTAAGCACCTCGTCTTCCATTAAAAGAACACCAGATTCATCTGTTACTTCTGCAGGCCGTTGTGAATGTTTAATATTGAGAGACAATGCTGACATACAATGCTGCTCAACCTCAGTTCCACGACACATATCTGCATTATGATCGACTTCATCCTCAGCATCCGTAGTACAATCATTGTACTTGGAGCCAACATCGTTCGCAGCTTTATCAGTCTTAAAACAAACGTGCTTTCCGATCGAATGATCAATACTGTCTGTACTAGAAGCAACAACAGATGCGTCGGCATTTATCATCATAAGGGGTTGTTCACTGAAAACGCTTGAGGCGAGCGAATTATCTTCTTCGCCAAGACTCTCTAGACGAGCCAACTGTGATGAACATGACACTTCGCCACAAGCCTCATCGGGAGTTGCAGATACAACCGGCAA